TATTGGCCTGTGAGCTGGTAGACGAGCTTGTGGTTATCTCTGTTAGAGACAAAAGCTGAAGTGAGTGATTGAAGGTGACCAGTAATGTAGGGATTCAAAGTCAATGGTTTTAGGTCAGCGTACGGTGGGAGGTAGTGGGTCAAATTACTGGCTGACTACTGTGTGACCGAGGAGGAGGAGGAGGAGGAGAAGAAGAAGAAGAAGAAGAAGAAGAAGGACAAGTTCCTTTTTCTTGTGGTTGCAGATGGCTCCATTCTATTTGTGGGAAGCTGCACATGCTGGAAGACGGGTCCAGCATCCCAATCAGTTCAGATATTCATCCATCAACACACCACGTAGTGGGACCAACAGGCCACTTCATGTACCGAATGTTTGACAGACAAGCCGGTATTTATTGCTCTGATATGATCCAGAGGATTTAGCGCCCGGCGCCTGCCACAAATTTATTGACGGTTTTTCAGTACTGTTGAGCAGAATTTACGGAGTATACAGCCATTTTGTGATCAATGTTGCAGGAGTGTGTCCGTCGGGTCATGTTGACCTCTTTCTGCTGGAGGACGCAGTCACTGTAAGCACGCACAAGGCATGGAAAAAGACAAATGCACTTTGTCGAGCAGAGAAAGACCTGGTGGTTCGAGCACAGGTCCTTGACTCCTTCAGGAAAATCTCGGTGGACCCAGACTGCAAAATCTGCGAACTGACGCAAACGACACACATGGTTTGGAAAGACTGGCTGCAGAGTGCAACTTTGCTTAAATGGAGACCTGGGCCTCCTTTTGCCAGCCCGAGCATCCAGCAACACAGCAGAGAATTGGTCCCAGTCGCTGACATGGGCGCACCACCCTGCAACCACCCGTGGCCTGATATCCCCCCCACCCGCCCTCTCCTCCCAGCCCCTCCCCCCGCTATTTTGACCCCCTGCCACCCCGCTGCCATCGATGGTATCCCCGCTCCCACTTTCCACCTCACCGCCGCGCAATCTCGAATGCAACCCCAATGTACGCGCCACCTTGACTTAGCAGTGGATAATGGTGCCAACCATGACTGAATTTGCCTGCACACCTGCCTTCAGAGGAGTAAATCAAGACCTTCATGAGTCACCGAGAGGTGACACAGCAAACGTGAGGGAGCGAGGAGACGTGGGCAATAGGCAAGTGAGTGGGCGCTAAGTATCTGTCCGCGTTCTAACAGAAGATACATCCTTATGAGACACTTAAACAAAAAAAAAAAAAAAAAAAAAAAAAAAAAAAAAAAAAACGTGTAAGGGCGAGGCCGTCCGTCATTGTTACGGGCGCCAGCAAGCTGCGGAGAAGGAGAGAGAGAGGGGATACGTGGCGATGCACCAAGCGATGTTTTAGTTGAAGGTTCTTTTGCGACTGCAACAGGAAGAATCTGTGCGATATTCGTAGTTGCTTCGGATCGATCCTCGCCATCGTTCTGCAGATCGTGGTCGTTGTCATCGAGCTGGCGGTTCACTCGCTTTCCGCAGGTGAGTAGCGGGCGACGCCGGAAGGAGCGATAACGCATGTTATGCTTTCGCGAGAACGAGAGAGAGAGAGGGAGGGAGAGAGTCTACCACGGAGAACTGACGATGCGGAATGAACAAAGAGTCGGGCTATGGCGCCAAGCTGCGCGCTAAACCGATGTACGTTCCTGCAGTGTATCTTCCCATGTTCTAGCGGAAGATTCATTCTCATTTGGCATATTTTGTGAGTAGTGGGGGCACGACTTGTAACCGTGAACCTCGACTCGTCATCATGATTTTTTTTCTTCTTCACTAAGTTGTGACCGCTGTCTTCACGATCGCGCTGCCTTTCTTCATCATCAGTGTGATCGAGCCTTCCGTCATCACCTCGTGGTTAAGCTGGTCATTGCCATCGTCATCATCTCTGTTGCTTGTAGATAATGGTGGTCAGCGCATTGCCCCGTCCTCAATGGTCGAGATTGCTGCCCTGCTCGTTACGGTCGTGATCCCGGTGCTGCTTCACGTGTTGGTCATGTGCTCTCAGGCCGCCTTCCCCATCTACGTGGAAGTGTGCTTCATCCCGGTAGCTGTCATTCGATGAACCGGGTCTTTTTCCTCTCTCGGTCCTCAATCGAATCTGGTCGTACCAACGACCAGATAAGTTTGGGCTGCGGCATGAAGGGAAGGGGGAGAAAGGAGGAAAGAATAGTAACAGGGGGAGGAGTCGATGGGCTGGCCTACCTGGTGATGTCTGCAGCCGTTCCCAGTTCGTAGAAGTAACATGTGACGAATAGACTTACTCACTTATGAATCTAGAGGGAAGAGTGGTCTAGCTGCGGATATAGTCAGGTACGTACAGAAGGTGATGGGTAGGACCAGTGGAAGCGAAGGTGGAGTTGGTAACAAGTGAAAGAATGAGCAGGGAGTTGAAGAGGGAGAGGATCGGATCTGAGCTGCGTCTCGTGTGATTGAGATCGCTGTGCTACCCATCAAGATCCCGGTTTTTCTCCTTGTGGCGGTGGCGATCCCGACGGTGCCACGTTCGTCATGCTCGCCATCCTCTTTGGTTGGCTGTGCTCATTGTCCCCTGTGTTGCGGTCTTCAAACTCCAAAGGTTGAAGTCGTTCTGTTCGCTGATTGAGGTCGCGTTGTGGGTATTCACGCATGCAACTAAGTCTGCTCACGTAGGCTTTACACTCGCGACAGTCGTGCAAACCTGTTTCCGCCGTGCCTTAGGTTTGCATGAAGCTAGCAGTAATCACGGGCAGGTGCTGGCTTTCGGTTTGTGATGATGTTGATCTCAAAATGTTACTGCTGTGAATGGTAAGAGTTGACTGGTAAGGCTGAGTTGCTTCTTCAGAGTAAAGCGTTGGGGAATCCACAACGCTTGGCTACCACTTTTTGAGGATGAGGACTACAGACTGAGTGACGTGGGATTGCTGGAGTTTCCAGGAAGGAGTTGACTGGCTGCTGTTGCAAAGGCATTGTTGCCTGAATCTAGGACTGCGTACTTTCAGTTGTGGCGGGCGACTGCTATTATTAGGTCCCTCGCTGATTATTGCTGTCTGCTGTGCTTCGGGCACTGTTTCTGTTCTTACCACAGAATACTGCATTTCTGAAGTCATCTGCTGTCGCAAGGTTGCGGCTGTCGTGGTCTGAGTATTGATGCTCATCGCTGCTCTTGCGAGGTGTTAGACGGCACTGGTGAGCGGTTGAGAGCTGCTGCTGTTTAGTTTGCTGCCAACATGGTTACGGTGCTTTCAACCAGCGTTGCTACTGGGTTTTCTTCACTGCGCTACTATTGAGTCTGGCGCCGCCGTTGTTGCATAGCTACTGCTGCCCGCTGTGCATCTTGCAGTGCACGGCGCTGTGCATAGCTGAGTGTTTGCTGCAGTTAGTGCAGTGTTTTTTTTTCTGCACTGTACATTACTACTGCGACTGCTGTATTCTCTACGGCTGCTGTGCGTAGCTGGCCTTGCTGCGCTTTGGCTGTGCATTTCGCCTCGCCATCACCTGCAAATTGTCGTGTGCATAGTCTCGGGTTGGGCGTGCATTTGGCCCACGGGGAAAGGCTGCCGGCCAGAGGCCAGGACTTTCCATATAGGAAAGTGCCAGCCTCAGGAGCGCTCATTCGAGCACTTGGTGTTGATGTGGCAGCGCTGCTGGTTTGCGTGCTAGTGGCCGTGAGCGGACGTTCTGGGGCACACTCGGGTGCAGGTGGTGAGGGTGCTGCCTGGAGCAGCACAGGAGCTCAGCCAGCCATAGCCGGGCTAAGGCTCCATGAAAGCCAGTGGGGTATCATAATGGTGGTGGTCCTTGGTGAGAGGGTATTGCGTGGGGGACGACAAGGGTGAGAGCGAGAGAGAGAGAGAGAGAGAGAGAGAGAGAGAGAGAGAGAGAGAGAGAGAGAGAGAGAGAGAGAGAGAGAGAGAGAGAGAGAGANGAGAGAGAGAGAGAGAGAGAGAGAGAGAGAGAGAGAGAGAGAGAGAGAGAGAGAGAGAGAGAGAGAGAGAGAGAGAGAGAGAGAGAGGAAGATGATGTACCTCGTTGTGCTGTGGAGGTCTGCATGGTCAGCATCTTCGCGTACAAGTGGTCTGCTGTTGTTGTTTTCGGTTGCATTGTCACAGTAGTGTAGGCTAGTTTAGGCGCTGTGTCTGGGTGCCAAGCGCCAAGTACGAGAAGAAAAATTGGATACATTGTTGATGGTGGCGAGAAGGGGCTGACATTGACAACTGTGTTCATTGCTTTGGTCTCCATTGGTGTGCGACTTGGTGTTTTCTGCTTTCTGGGCAGCGTTCAATTATCTGGCTTTCAATGTGATGTTGCAATTTGAATTTCTGTCATTGCATTGTCGCTCGTTTTCCTTGCAGATTGCCCTTTTTGGTTTTCTTATTGGAGAAGGTGAAATCCAGTTTGAATATCACGGTGGCAAGAAGGGGCTGACATTGACTACTGTGTTCATTGCTTTGTTCTCCGTTGGTGTGTGACTTGGTGTTTTCTGCTTTCTGGACACCGTTTGATTATCTGGCTTTCAATGTGATGTTGCAATTTGGATTTTTATTTTATTTTTTTCAATTTTTTTGTAATTTGGACCGTTTCTCGATTTATGCGTGTCATCCTTGTGCAGGGGCCATGCTAATCTTCTCTGTGTCGTTCCAATTTTAACGGATGTCCCGAAGGACAGCAATTTGGATTTCTGCCATTTCGTGTTCGCTCATTTTCCTTGCAGATTGCCCTTTTTGGTTTTCTTCTTGGAGAAGGTGAAATCCAGTTAAGAGTATCACAGAACCCACACCATGATGGGTGCAGGCTTATGTCAAGCGTTGCATGGTTGTGACCCTTTGTGAAGTTTCTGCCCAAAAGTTAAGTGATTATTTTAACACAGTTGAGTATTAGTGAGCGTGCAAATGGAGTCCAGATTCTGTAGAATGATGTTTTTTCTTCTTTTCTGAAGGACTCAAACGTTTTCTGACCTAGAGACCTTTTCTGCATCTGTGGCATGTTCTAAATCGGTGGCTGGGACTGAAAACTACAGTCTGCGTACAAAGGAAAGTTCAATCAGCTCCGAAACCTGAAGCACGAGATCGAGCATCTTCAGATGATACTGGAACAGAGCAGGATCCGGCTTCAGGTCAGTATGTTCTCCCTTTTCTGCCTTTTTTCAAAACTCTTCAAGTCAGTTCAAATTTAAAAACTTCGTTGAAAATCAATTCTTCACTGCACTTGTATAGCACTTAGGCACTCACATTCCTTTTTTTTCTGTTTTCTTTTTTTTATGAAACTTCGGATGCGGGCCAGCTGCAGTAATTCGTGTGCATGAAAGTCTATACGGGGCCCAGACCCGCCCCAGGCCACGCAGAACTTACTGTTCTGCGTTGGGGTGTGTGACCAGACACTGCCCAGGCCCAGACTGCTGCGTCCGGCTGTGAGACCGAACGCTGCAGATGGAAATTCAAAGGTCAAAGTCCACTGTAGAGTCAAAGGTACCATGCACAGGCCCTTGGCCAGAGACACTCACTTGTGATGTGCAGGCACCCAGACAGCATCGAGGCCAAAGAAGATTCCGTTTCGGTATAATTTGAGCCCTTGTCTGTACTGAGATCTGGACGATCGAGGGAGGCAGCATCCGGGGCTCAGCCCCCGAGTCAACAGTACATAAGGACTGACTCCCCGGCATTTGACATTCATTCAGTCGCGTCAATGCTGACTTTCTACTTTGACGACGACGCTGGCTCTATGTTGAGGCGCTGGCTGGACGCTGGCTTCTGGCTGGTACTTGTGAGATACGGCGGCGCGCTGCTTGCCAGACATGCTGGCTGGCTTGCTCTTGTCTACTTGGTATGCTGACGTGGCAGCTGCCACGCGTTGCTGCTGACGTGGCCGCTGCCACGTGTATTTCATGCTGATGTGGGGCTACATTGGAGAGATACAGCTGTTCTGATTCATCGTACTCAGGAGGTGATCACGACTGTGGAAGGATCAGAGATACGTACCTGTTTATCTTGATGTTGATGATGCTCCAGCGCTGATGATGGACTATTGATGTGCCACGTGGCACTTTGAGGAGAACTTCAGATATCGTTCCAATCATTGCTGAGGTGGCGACATTGAGAGGGAGGCCCGAAGAGGAAGTGGGCAGAGTATTCTTCTCCACCCTCTAAGTCTATCTTCCCAACCTCTTGCTTATTCGTCTATGTATGTTATCCATCTTTTTTGTATCTGGTAACGATTTCACGATTGATATCTCATCAGTTGGTTGACGATTGAGGACTTGCATTATCAACGAGTATCATCACGACTTGGGTGCATTACAATTTGGTATCGGAGCTGTACTCCTGATTGAAGTACGACGACGAGGATAACGAAGTTGATGACGAAGACCGCACGCGTGCGCGCCAGCTGGCGCCAAGTAAGTTGGGGGTGACGTGGCTCGGTGCGACCGTGTTGTCGCACGCGTTTATTAACGCGATCTAGACAGCCGACCACGCATCCTCTGTTGAAGATCGCGCGTGCTGAAGAAGAAGACGAAGACAATCCAAGGTGGCAGGACCTGAGATCTGACGTGGCAGTCTGGATACTGATCACGAGATAAACAGTCAGGATCGTGACGCTAACTCACGACATTGCTGACGTGGCACATGATGTGTCACGTCCCAGGGATCTGCTGCTGACGTGGCATACCGCTGCGATATTGATAAGCAAGCAGATCCCTCCAGGTGCTGACGTGGCCTGCTGACATTAATGTTGACGTGGCAAGAAGTGGATTACGCACTTAACTGGTGCAGCAGTAATCCTTGCTGACGCAGCATCTTGATAGGCTGGCGTGGCACTACCGTAACTGGCTGGAAATCGGTATCACGAGCTGCATTACGAGGCAGGGACAGATTGACTGCTGACGTGGCAGTAGAGGGCCGCCGCATTTGCGATGAGTGCCCTCCTGCTTGGCTGCTTCGACGAACCAAGGCTGTGGCAGAATACTGATCAGAGTTGCTGACGTGGCACCCATCCTGTTGATTGATTAGGGGTGACACGTGGCAGGCACGCGTGTGCCTAAGTGAGGAAGTACATTCTGACGACGACGGCGGTACGGCTGATTGAACAGTTGTAGTACCAAATGTCGAATGGGTGTTGATTGCATTGGGCAGGGACTGACGCAGGGAAAGAAGGGGGCTAACATATTGTTTGTTGGATGTTTGGCTTACTTACCTTGTGTTGATTGTTGTTTTGTGTTGTGCATACTCACTTGTGTTGTATCTGACCACACGGGCCTGACTTGGTACCTGTTCGCTTAGGACGTCATCACATAGAAAACAACAGAACAACGAAGTTAGACATAGGAATTAGAGGTAGATTGAGTTGTTCTTTTTCTTCTCTGGCCACTGGATTCTTGAGGTGAAAGGAAGCGGCCGTGTAATTTATTATTGTTTAAATTAATTATTTATTGTGCGGCAAACGCTAACACAGGATGTATCATTTCTGGAAATGTTTGAAACTCTCGCTGCTCACACGTTTCATCCCACTACTCTTTTATCCTATTTCAGTAATGTTTGTTGTAGATGAGGAACATCGTGACCCACAGACCAAGCAGCAAGTTGAGGAACGAAAGAAAACCTTGCTTGCTCGATTGATTCAATTTGAGACTGAACTCCGTGAGACCGGACCAGAGGTTGAGTCCGAAATCCGCAAAGTGTATGATTTAAAAGCATTGAAAACTGCTATAGAAACTGCGGTAACGGGGACAAATGTCCTGGGTGTCCAAGGCATATTGATCAAGTGCAGAAAGGCACTTGATGATTTTGTTTTGGGTAAATTTGTTGAAATTGAGAACAGTAGGAAAACAGGACAGGAAACAACGGTTCCTGAAGATGTCGTGGATGAAAACATCGGACAGCTTGAGGAGGCGCTCAAAAATGAGAAAAGAAAGAAAGAAGAAATGAAAAAGGAAAGATAAAGAAACACACAGCAAGAAAGGAAAGTTCAGGAAATCAAACAGCATGTTGTTGTCACCGAAGGGGAGGAACAGTCTGTCTCTATTTCTCAGTTAGTGACTTACCTTGCACACCTGGAAATGAAAATTGACCACTATGGCATTCGGATAGACGAGCTGACCGTGGGGTTACCGGCAATCACGAATGTGGTCAAGGGGAAGAACCAGGTAAACAGGGAAGACCAAACTGAGAAGGAACAGAAACCGGTCAAGTTAATGGGAGATGCTATCAAGTCACTCAGAGGAGAGACTCAGAAGCCCGCAGAAAAGAATGGAGGACCTTCGAGTCCGCATTCAAGTCTGCCTTCGACTCCACGAGGGGGATCACCAAAGCCTCCCAAAGACAAGAAGGACCCCACCTCACAACCTGAGAAACCGAAAAGAAGAGAGAAGATCAAAATGAAATTGCCTTTTACTTTCTGTAATGAGAAGGACGAAATTTTGTGGATAGCTGAGATCTAGACGTACGTTGGAACAGCCCCTGTCGAGGAACCATTCCAAGTTGCTTTCTCAACGTCTTGTTTGGGAGGGGAAGCGAAATAATGGGTTTTGGCGGACGCTAATGCCGCCGGATTTGAAGATATTGGTGAGTGGGCTGGAACGTTGACCTTAAAACAGTTCCTTGCCAAAATCAAGGAGCGTTTCTTGGACAAGACTACGGCCGATAAGGCCTTTGACCAGCTTACCTCCATTGGGCAAAAGCAATGGACCTTAGTAGAGTCTTTGTCAAGGGAGGTTGACCCGTTGCTGCAGGTTCCAGGATTGAACCTGCAAGACAACCAAATTTTGTATATTTACTCCCGTGCTCTGCCTGAGCCTATTCGAGGACAGCTTGTGGCAGAGTCTAAATCAGGTAAGTACAATTATAGGCAATTTCGAGATTTGGCTCTCCAGAGAGAGCAAATGACATCTCAGGTCAAAAACACTTATGCATCTGTGGTGAAGCATGGTGGTGGTGGTGGTACAGGTTATGGAAAGCGAGTGATCTGGCGTCAGAAATGCTAGGACCACACCCTCGTCGTTTTCGACGACGACACGGTAGAGAAGTGGCCATTGGAGGCCAAGGGTGTGGGAAACAGCAGTGATTCCGGGAAGGGGGAAGTCACTGCTGTCGTGGTCAACAAGGGAGGACCATGACCGCCAGGTAAGAAGAAGAGACCACGCTCCTTTCCCGAGCATCCCGACATTGCGGCAGGGAAGCCTTGGGAGAAAATGGGAATAACACAAGACACTTGGCAAGAGAGAATGAACAATGTGCAGTGTCTGAAGTGTGGCGTTGCTGGGCACGTAATTGCGTGGTGCCCACTCATTCGAAATAGGAACCTAAAAGGGAGCAGCCAGTAGGAGTAGCATCTGCTCCTATTGAGTCTACGAGTTTGGACCAGATTGAAGGTAAGGCGCCGACTAACCCTTCCAACCCTTCGACTCATACGACAGAGGATGGTTCTTCTTCGGCCCATCGTCCAGAACACCCTGAAACTGTCTTATGTTCTGTCTCTCTGGACGACTCTCTTGATGAGCTTGGTAACGAGTTGCTAGCATTACGAAGCTCATGGGCTAAGAAAACGAATTCTAAGGGTGACCTACTACTCGCGGACGTAGAGATTGCACACACACGCGTAGGTGCACTACTAGATTCAGGATCTACGCGATCCTACATTTTCGAGAAGGCGATTCGTAAACTACATCTCGAAATGAAAGTGAAAACACTGTCTCGACCTATCGTGTATATTCTAGCGGACAAGAGCACGATTACTGTCTCGCAATACGTTGATCGTGTCAAATGTTGGTTTCGCACACGGGAAGGTAAGAAAATACTACACGAGGTATTTTTTCTTGTTGAGAAAAATCTTCCCTTTGACTTGATTCTGGATATGGATTGGCACGAGGAAGCCAACCCAGACATTAAGTTCAGAGAAAAGGTTGTGCAACTACGAGACGCACAATGTGAACTAAAGGCCATCAAGTTGTTTCACAAGTCTGGCTCTGACTCTAACCTGTCTTTTTGTTGTATGAGTTATCCGGCTTTTCGATCGATGGTGGCAAAGAAGAAGTTGGAACAGGAAATTATGATGGTACTCGTGAAACAGGTTGGTGAGTCCTCTACTTCCTATCCCCCCTCGATTCAGAAACTCCTCGATGAGTATAAAGATCTATCCTTAGAACCCACAGGGATAACTGAGCGTGCTATTAAGCACACTATTGAAATCATTCTTGGTAGTAAGACTCCCAAGGGCCCTATCTATCGAATGTCTCCTAGGGAACTTGAGGAACTGAGGAAACAACTCCAAGACTTGACTGAAAAAGGATGGATTCGCCCTAACTCTTCTCCTTACGGCGCTCCTATTTTGTTTGTGCCTAAAAAGGAAGATGAGTTGCGTCTGTGTATCGACTATAGAGGACTGAATTCTGTCACTGTTAAAAATGTCGAGCCCCTACCACGTATTGATGATCTGTTGGATCAGTTGCAGGGATGTAAATACTTCAGTAAGATTGATATGAAGTCTGGGTATCACCAAATCGAGGTGGAACCTGCGGATCAACACAAGACGACCTTCCGAACCAGGTATGGTCACTATCAATTTGTGGTTATGCCTTTCGGACTGACGAATGCCCCAGCGACATTCCAAAGAGTTATGAATGAGTTGTTTCGACAGTGGTTGGACCAGTTCGTCATTGTATACCTTGATGATATTCTAGTGTATAGTAAAACACTAGAAGATCATGAAAAACACTTACGTTTAGTACTTGGGAAATTGCGCGAGGGCAATTTTAAGTTAAATCCCAAGAAATCTGAATTTGCTAAGTCCGAAGTTTTGTACTTAGGACACATAGTAAATGAAGATGGGTTGAGGCCACAGGCAAAGAAGATTGCAGCGATTAGAGATTGGCCACAACCTAAGTCCCTTACTGATCTTCGCTCCTTCCTGGGTTTAGCAAGCTACTATAGGAAGTTTGTAAGAAACTTTTCACTGATTGCTGCACCGATGAGAAAACTGCTGAAGAAAGGAACTATGTGGTTATGGGATAAGGATTGTGAGTCTTCCTTTAGGAAACTAAAGCATGTCTTGACTCACTACCCTGTGTTGAAAATCGCTGACCCATCTCTTCGCTTCATTGTCACAACTGACGCAAGTCAGTATGGTATTGGCGATGTCCTTCAACAAGATGATGGTAAAGGCTACAGACCAGTTGAGTTTATGTCTGCATGCCTACCCACTGAAAAGGTTGCCAATTCTACTTATGAGAGGGAACTATATGCCTTAGTCTGTGCATTGCAAACTTGGAAGCACTATTTGTTAGGGAGACACTTCAGGGTGTATTCTGACCACTCTACCCTGAAGTGGATCAAGACACAACCAAGACTCTCTGACAAACTAGTACGATGGTCTGCCTTCATTGATACATTTGACTTTGAGTTGAAAACGATCAAAGGAAAGTCTAATGTGGTGGCAGATGCATTGTCTAGGAGAAGTGACTTCTTTGGAACAATTGTCTCTTATTTGGATGTAGGGCATGAAGTGAAAGAAAAGATTCGTCAAGGATATGCAACAGATCCTATCTGGAAACCTATCATTGACACTGTACTAAAAGATTCATCCCTACTTCCTGACTATAAGATCACTGATGGTTTACTTTTCTTAATAGACCAAACCGAACAAAGATTATGCATCCCTCATAAAGAAGAGATTAAAAGCTTGTTGATTGGGGAATGTCATGATTTTGAAGGACACTTTGGATTGAAGAAAACGTATGCCGAAGTGAGAGAACGCTTTGAATGGAAGGGTATGAAAGAAGATGTACTAACTTACGTGCGTACCTGTCTGGTGTGGCAGAGGAACAAACCGTCACACGAGAACCCACTCGGTCTCTTGAGATCATTGCCGATTCCTAGTGGAACCAGGGGAGTCCATCTCTATGGATTTTATGAGCCTCATAAAGACTCGCAATGGCAATAGCCAGGTGATGGTGATTGCAGACCGTTTCTCTAAATACGCTATGTTCATTCCCTTACCCGCTGAAGCGAAAACTGAACTTGTGATTCAAAAGTTTCAGATGCGATGGGTAACTGAGTATGGGTTTCCCCTATCTATTGTATCTGACAGAGATACAAGATTCACAAGTATGCCATGGCAAAAGTTGATGGAGACATACGGTACTCGCTTGACTATGTCGTCAGGACGACATCCTGAGACGAATGGCCAAAGTGAGCAGATGAAACGTCTGTGCCAACAACTGTTGCGCATGTATATGAGGCCTGATCAAATTGATTGGGATGAGAACCTGCCGAAGATAGCCAGTGCGTATAATAGTAGTGTTCACACTGCAACTGGTCGTTCTCCCAACGCACTGCACAAAGGATGGAAACCCAGACGTCCCATTGATATTCTAACTCAGGGCCAGTTTCTTAGATTACCACCAGGGACTCGTGAGTATGCAGTAATGTTTCAGCAAGACATACAATAGGTGAAAGAGAACTTGAAGAAAGCTCAAGATCAAATGATAACCCAAGCTAATAAACATTGTCGACCTTCATCATTTAAGGTAGGAGATCTAGTCAGGGTCAGGTCTAAAGAGTGTTCATTAGAAGAAGACATATCGCAGAAACTGCTGCCTGTCTATTTTGGACCCTGGGAGGTTCTCAAAGTTATAGGAGATGACGAGGGACCGTCATACAAAATAGATACCCCTCCTCACCTTAGAGCCTATTCCGTCTTCCATGCCTCCAAACTGTTACCTTATGTGGAAGGAAATGAATTTCCAAACAGACCATCGATGATACCTCCATGGATGGAGAATATGAGGTAGAAAAAATTATTGAGCATGGGTATTTCTCCACCGGAGGACGTGGACGTCCGCAGAAGCAATTCAAGGTAAGATTTAAATCTCAAGCACCTTCTGAAGATAGATGGTTTACAAAAAGGCAATTACTTGAATCTGCTCCTGACATAGTCTCTACATACGAAAGAGGATTGAGGTCTTAACATTTTTGCGATGGAACTCCAAATTGGGCCGGCAGGAATGCAGTAATTCGTGTGCATGAAAGTCTGTACGGGGCCCAGACCCGCCCCAGGCCACGCAGAACTTACTGTTCTGCGTCGGGCTGTGTGACCAGACACTGCCCAGGCCCAGACTGTTGCGTCCGGCTGTGAGACCGAACGCTGCAGATGGAAATTCAAAGGTCAAAGTCCACTGTAGAGTCAAAGCTACCATGCACAGGCCCTTGGCCAGATACACTCACTTGTGATGTGCAGGTACCCAGACAGCATCGAGGCCAAAGAAGATTCGGTTTCGGTATAATCTGAGCCCTCGTCTGTATTGAGATCTGGACGACTGAGGGAGGCAGCATCCGGGGCTCAGCCCCCGAGTCAACAGTACATAAGGACCTGTCTCTTATACACATCTAGATGTGTATAAGAGACAGGGCCCAGACTGCTGCGTCCGGCTGTGAGACCGAACGCTGCAGATGGAAATTCAAAGGTCAAAGTCCACTGTAGAGTCAAAGGTACCATGCACAGGCCCTTGGCCAGAGACACTCACTTGTGATGTGCAGGCACCCAGACAGCATCGAGGCCAAAGAAGATTCCGTTTCGGTATAATTTGAGCCCTTGTCTGTACTGAGATCTGGACGATCGAGGGAGGCAGCATCCGGGGCTCAGCCCCCGAGTCAACAGTACATAAGGACTGACTCCCCGGCATTTGACATTCACTCAGTCGCGTCAATGCTGACTTTCTACTTTGACGACGACGCTGGCTCTATGTTGAGGCGCTGGCTGGATGCTGGCTTCTGGCTGGTACTTGTGAGATACGGCGGCGGGCTGCTTGCCAGACATGCTGGCTGGCTTGCTCTCGTCTACTTGGTATGCTGACGTGGCCGCTGCCACGCGTTGCTGCTGACGTGGCCGCTGCCACGTGTATTTCATGCTGATGTGGCGGCTACATTGGAGAGATACAGCTGTTCTGATTCATCGTACTCAGGAGGTGATCACGACTATGGAAGGATCAGAGATGCATACCTGTTTATCTTGATGTTGATGATGCTCCAGCGCTGATGATGGACTATTGATGTGCCACGTGGCACTTTGAGGAGAACTTTAAATATCGTTTCAATCATTGCTGAGGTGGCGACATTGAGAGGGAAGGCCGAAGAGGAAGTGGGCACAGTATTCTTCTCCCCTCTCTAAGTCTATCTTCCCAACCTCTTGCTTATTCGTCTGTGTATGTTATCCATCTTTTTTGTATCTAGTAACGATTTCACGATTGATATCTCATCAGTTGGTTGACGATTGAGGACTTGTATTATCAACGAGTATCATCACGACTTGGGTTCATTACACCAGCACTTGAGGAGGTGATAAGAACACCCTCCCAGAGTGGCCCTCCAGTTGAGGGCCCATCTCTTGGTGGGGAGCTCGACCTGCTGGAAACCGGATCCAGTTGCATGGTCAACAACTCAGGTATTGAAGGCCCTCATGGTACAACACATTGCATTAACAGTTGCATGGTTAACAACTCGGGTATTGCGGCCTAGTTAGTTGGTGGCCCAGTTAGCTCTCCGTTCCCACTGAGGATTAGGTGAGGTTAGCCATACTGTAGTTCCCCTCAGCTCGTGTACTGAGGAGGGTGTAACCACCATGCGCCTGCTGTTGCCATGTAACCCCTGTTGGCTGCTGCTGGTAGTGCTCTGGGGTTGTCGACTTCTGCTGTTTGACCATCTTCACCATTTAGTGTTGGGGCTGGCATGGTTAATCCGTCTGGCCAAATATTAGAAAGCAGGGAGTGGAGAACTGCACCCCCGCCATTGGTTAGCACAAATTTCAGGCTGCGCTAAGGAGCGCTAGCACCCGGCCTAGGCCCGACGGGCTGACACCAATCAATACCCGCCGCCACCCTCCCGCCCAGCCACCCGCACGCCGTGCACGACCAATTTTGAATTTTCGAAGCTGGGAGGCAATGCCCGCCATCGCACCGAGGGCTCGAAGAAGCCACGCGAGTGCGCCCCCTGCGGGCGCGCGTCATCACCAAGAGGGCAGCTGGACACAGCGACCCTCGTCGAAGCTGCCACTAGTAACCAAGATCGTAGCCGATATAAG